CTCTCTCTCTCTCTCTCTCTCTCTCTCTCTCTCGATAAAGAAGCGCTCTCTCTCTCTCTCTCTCTCTCTCTCTCTAGATGAAATATTAAACGGGAAAACACACACAGCAAACAAAGTTCTCCAGGGTAATAAATCTGCAGCCCTAGGTCCGTAGTCCGTAGGAAGGAGGCTAGCCCCCAGGCTCCTCCAACAGCCCCAGTGACAGTTCAGTCCGTCACATGTACCACTTTCCCTTGTTTGGCATGCGTCCAAGAACCCATTGAAATCAATGGGGGCGCACGGCAAATGCCCGCAGACATGTTCCCACTACGCTCAGGTGTCAATAGGGGCTTAAGGCAAACACAGTTTGACAAAATTCTGTTTGTTAGGTTTAAAGCCCAGTTATAACTTTCTGAAATAAAAGGGACTGCCTGTTGGCTTGGTTATATAGTTTTCATTATTAGGGTCGGGAATAAAAAATACTTTTTTTTTTTTTTAAATGTTTCTTTTTGCACAATAATATTTTATAGTTTTTGCCAGCTAGCAGAACTTTGGCCTCATTTTCAGATGTTGGCAGTAATTACATCCAGCCTGTTTGTTTACAGACCTCAGTAGCTCAGGTGGGAATTTACACACACAACATAATGGACCATCCCAGGTTCTGTCGGGAGGTTTTTCTGCAGGTATAGAAACATACCTGTTGATTCTTGCAGGAACCTAATGAGCTTTCAGCTTTCTGTGCTCTCTGCTTGTACAGAAATCCCAAACAAGGTTATCAGCCCTGTCCAGATTACAGAACACCTCCTTACATTATAGAGATCAGAAGAGGAGGAGCTCTTCCGTTTTTGGGTTTAGATGCACTTTAAATGCCACAAAATGTGCTGAGAGTGATTGTTCCGCTATGAAAAATGACCTTGCACGTGTGTCAGAGTGGGATCTTTTTACAGAACTACATACAGTTTGTATGTCCCAGCATTCTTATACATTCTCTTCTCCTCCACTCCCAGTATGTCAGATTCCATGCTGCCATTAGAAGTCAGATTGTCTTCTGTCTGTTGCAGGGTTTACTGTTGTACCGGCACAGGAAGGAACGTTCTCATGCACCTCACAGATTAAACAGGAATATGGATGGTCACGAAACTTGCTATTCCATCTTTGCCCTTCCTATCGGTGACTTGAAGTCAGAGCGTGACTCGGTGAGCTCTGGTGTGGCGCGCAGCATTGGTGACAGCTCGGGCGTCAGTTCTCCGATCTGGAAAGCTGTCAGAGTCGATTTAGTGGTCACACCTTACTCGGAATATCCATATGCCCTTCTGGGCTGGACAGGATCAAAGGTAGGTAATAAAGTGGGGTGTGGTTTATTTATTTACAAACTGGATAACATTTTGGGGGTTTTCCCCTTTTTTTTATGTGACTTTTTTATTTTATTTTACTTTTTTATGTTTTTATTTTTTTGCACTTATTGTTATTGCTATTATATGGTGAGAAACCAATGTCTGGGACATGGAGCCCTGTGTGGGTGGGACAGGTTTGGCGCCAATGTCTGGGACATGGAGCCCTGTGTGGGTTGGACAGGTTTGGCGCCAATGTCTGGGACATGGAGCCCTGTGTGGGTGGGACAGGTTTGGCTCCAATGTCTGGGACATGGAGCCCTGTGTGGGTGGGACAGGTTTGGCGCCAATGTCTGGGACATGGAGCCCTGTGTGGGTGGGACAGGTTTGGCGCCAATGTCTGGGACATGGAGCCCTGTGTAAAAATTACAAGGATAAGAAGGGTGTGCAGCAGACGCTTTCTAGAAAACATATGTAACGGGCAACTTGTGCTACCTCTTTGGCAAGATCTTTAATTTGGAAAGCCCCAAACTATCCTACATACTGTGTAGAAGGCACTCCCTTTATTCCCCTTCCCCGCTCCCACACAGTGTTGTGCCAGCATAAGGTCAGACAATTGATAGTACAGTGACTGGCAGACCTTGGGAGACCTCTTACCTCTGACTCTATAGCCACAAGTCATTCATAGACGGGGGAAGTAAGGCCACCTATGGAGTCACACATTTATCTTTCATAGGGAAGCTTGTAGTTTGAATGATTTTAAATTAAAATGTAATAAAGTTCAGCCATGGGCGGTTCTCTTTTTAAACCCATTGGGACTAAAGCAATCAGGATGTGAGCTTAGGCTAATGCATTAATTTTCATTGCAGCACTTTGAGAGAGAGCTGCGACGCTTCTCATTGCAGGAAAAAAAGATGACTCTCAGCAGCCATGGACTCTTCGATGGAGACACGGTGAGAAAGCAAGTAAAGACCAATGTCAGTAGAAATTTGGAGGCTGCCATCACTGACCTCATGTGGGCTATAGAGTGCCCAGTTCTGTTCTACCTGCTTCCTGTAATGTCACTGTTGTGTCTTCTAGTGACGTTGCAGCCAGCAGGTAGAACCGCAGCGGGGAAGGTCCTTGCCTAGGTCGCTTTGTGGGTGGGCCAGACTGTGGACCAACACGTAAGGAAAGAGTAGGATGCAGTCACGTTAAATTTTACATGAGCAACACATTGCTGCTTCAGATCTGTTGATTGATTTAGAGAAGTCCTGTTCTTCCCGGAGTCATGAGGTCTTGAAAGGTGTGCTTCAGTTAGTTACTCCACTTTTGTTGAGAACACAAACCACACACATTCCCTCTGGGTGATCTATGCACTGCAAGGGTTTTGTCACACTTTGGTGCAGTTTCTGACCTTTCTTTGTTCTGTAGAAATGGCTGTTTGGGTCCTGAATGGGAGGGTGTGTCCATTATAATCAGCGGGTGGACTTTCTGTATGGTAATGAGGAAATTGGCAGTGTCGGTATCCCTTTACACGTTTCCAATAGGGATGTCCCGCAGCCTGCTGGTGACCTGGCAGTAGCTGTCCTTGGCAGTGCCTGTCTGGTTCTACATCTCCTCCTTCCCGAAGCAGGCACAGGCCCACACACCGCACAGTACAACCCCGGAGCCGGCACCTGCCCGTTCAACTCTCCACCTGCCATTTCAGGCCGGTGTTCTATCACTTCTCCCCCCGGCACCGGCCTGACAGCATAGCCACTGCCTGCAGAGCCCTGGAGAGATCCACATGCTGCCTGGGTGAAATCGCACCCTGTTGAGATCTGTATCCAGCTCTGGTGACGCGTTGTGTATCCAGCTCTGGTGACGCGTTGTGTATCCAGCTCTGGTGACAAACTGCCCAAACTCATCAGTCTGTATTTTAGAAAAAATGCCACGTGTTCCTTTAGGAAAAAGTATCGGTAATTGGTATCGGCGAGTACCCGAGGGAAAGTACTTGTACTGGGTCTTAAAGTGGTATCGGGACATCCCTAGTTTCCAATTTCCGATGATTATTTACAGTTCCATAAATTTGGCTGACACAACAAACTGCCCTAACATTCTTCTTCTCTTTTTGGTCTTTCCAGAAATGTTCCATCGCGGCAACATCTGAGGAAGAGATCTTTGCATATTTGGGTCTGGACTACGTACCTCCTTCAGACAGAAATGCCTGATGATCCCTCCCTGGGTCCTGTACCCATCTGTCTTCTTTTTTTACTCAGGACTTGTACAGGTATTCTATTCCACAAAGCACAATTGTTTATATAAAGTTTTTATTTTTGAATAGTTCTATGGTGCTGTTTCTGTAATTTAAGTAAAAAGCTCACTTTTTCTATTACGTGTGCAATTTATTTATTTTCATTTTTGGGCTTCCCCCCCACTTAATTATTTCCAAACTTCTGGGCCAGAAAGGCCACACAGAGCTCTGGACCAGAATTTGGTGAAGTTTCATAGTATAGTGCCTGGATTTTGAGGGTGCTCAGAGAGCTGACCTGATTGGCATGGCGTGCAAGGTTGCTTATGCTTATTGGGAGGTTTCAATCAGACAAATGATGCCTCAAGGCAGGCAGGTTCTGCTGTTCTGTATTTTTGGATAACCCATAGTATAAATATTATGTGTTTGGAGACCTGGATCTTCTGACATATAATAGAAAATGATATCATGGCACTCGCATAGGTCTGATCTTTCAGGTCGTTTTCATTCAAATCCACTTGTAGTACAGCAACCGCATTGAAAGGGCAGACCTAAAAATCTCCAACATGTTTTGCACGTGTTGTACTTAATCACGATTGAAGGGAAACTAAACACTAATTGACCAAAGCCATTAACACAGAGGTAGGCGCCCTCTGCACTCCAGCTGTGGCGAAGTACAAATCCCATAAGGCATCGCAAGACTGACCGCCACAATCATGATGGGATTAGTTTAACTACAGCTGGAGTGCCGCGCTCGCTTAGCCCTGCATTATAGTATCCTTTAATTCCCATGTTTAAAATGACACTAAGTTCAGGAGTTAAATCCTAAAAATACATTCAAGTTCCCTAATTATTAAAAGAAACATATCTTATTTGTGTATCACTCGGCTGTAGATCCTCAAATCATCTCTGAATTGGCGCTGACACTGTCCTTCCTTCTGGAGGGGGGCTACTTTTGTTCCCCATGGTCCCTGTGTGTGTTGTAGAGTAGTCACCGCTCCAAGCTCACTCCCGTGATGGACTACAACCTCATGTTTAGGTTAATAATTTGTATTGAGATTGTAGTCCATCACGGATGCGAGCTTGGAGCGGTGACTACTTTACACCACACACAGGGACCATGGGGAACAAAAGTAGCCCCCCTCCAGAAGGTACAGTGTCAGCACCAATTCAGGGCCTGTTCACACGATGCCCGTTTTCTGTGCTGACCTGATCCGTACGCTCCTGCACTCAAAATGCATCCCAATGTATCCCTATGTGTTTTATGGGCTACAGTTCTCACGTGCGCAGTCCGTTCAGGTTACAACAGAAAAATACTGCATGTCACATTTTGTACGGTCAGGAAACGCATCAAAAACGCACTGCAGTGCAGCTAACATACTAACAGCCGCATCAAAAACACGGCCAAAACGCACTGCATCAGTAACACCGCGTCTGCAGATCCGGACCTGATCAGGATCTAAAACTCGTGAACAGGCCCTCAGAGATGATTGGAGGATCTACAGCCGAGTGATACACAAATAAGAGACATTTTTGGTAATAGTTGAGGTACTAAAATGTATTTTTAGGATTTAATTCCTGAGTTTAGTGTCACGTTAAGTGTCAGTTTGCACTGCTGTTGCTCTACTAGCAGGGCGTTTCAATGAACGACCCAAAAGATGTTTTGGAAGAATGGTGTGCACAAGGACAGTGTACTAAGAGTGAGAATCTTCTCCTTGACCAATCCCGGGGGGAAGGTCTGACATCACGAAGCAAAGCTCTGCTCCCTTACCAAGATGTCCACCTCCATACAAAGCTACAGCATAGAACACGGCATGGAATGTTGAAATCGGCTGCAGGGAACATACCGGAAATACTGCTGACTAGTGCTTTGCCTTGTTTTGGTTATGGCTTCCATAGTATGAAGAGATGCAGTTTGGAGCAGATGGAACCTCTTCCTATGCAGTGACTTGCATCCTTTCCTGGAATCCGGGTGTGTATTGGAAGGCTGCTATTTCTGGCCTCCTTTTGAAAATGTTTACTTCCCTGGCCGTTGTGCTGATGTAGTGTCTTCAGTACTTTAGAATCCCTTATCTCAGCTGTCTGGCTTTACCGGAGGCTACATGGTTGTTCAGCGTCTGTGCGTAATGACGACAGATATCCGACCAACTGGCACATCCAAAATGGCCGCCTAGATCTCTCTCTCTCAGGATTTCCATGTAATGACAACTTGTGCTTTTCCCTCCGCTTAGCCATGAAAGGTTTGCTTTCTAAACGGCACAGCCTGTACTTCTGTGTGCTCCTCCAATCACCTCAAACCCCTTGTGAAGTTCTCAGCAAGGAATTACTTTGAAGAAGTTGAGACTATCCGGATCTGGGCACGCTTCCTCACATGACCGGCCTCGGCCGCTCCAGGAGCTGTATGGTGGAAGGATGGTGGACGCATCACCTACTACTTCCAGGTAAGAAGGAACACTTCTTTATTGTGGGTCTGGCCACAGGAGAGCTGGATCAATGGCCTATTCCCAGTCTTGGATATGATTCACATCTGTGTACTGTGGTTTAGTGTGAATGGTAAAGGGAACCATACGGGCTCTTCCACATGTGCGTGCGTGCTGTAATGTACACAGAACGGTGTGAATCCAGCTTTAATGTTCTTCTAGACCCCCCTCCTTCCCCGCACTTGCTGCTGTTACTGATATTTTAGCATCGCTGTTAATGTCGGAACTATTTTTGGGTTTTGTTACAAGTCAGAACTGTGTACAGTATGAATCACACAAATCGGCAATGTAACGCGTGCAGCACTACAACCATTTCTACTTCTTATAGGACACGCTCATCTCCTTCACCAACCAACATTCATTGCACTTACATCCTGAAATCCATTGTAGGAAAAGCGGTGCCTGGAGAATAACGGGGTCACCGATTCCTGAATGTGGATCACCAGTGACATCTGTATAATGCTTTACATATTCATCTCTGGCCAGCTATCAGAATGGTGCCCATGTGACTTGAGTATGACGTGTCGTAGCCCTAGTGTAAAACCTGCCAGAATGGGGATCCCCCCAGGATTTTTAGAGTGGGAAAGGGTCAGAACAGAGGCTCTGTTTTTTCATTGTTGTCTTAGGCCTTGTTAAGGAAGATTAGCCCTCACTTCCTGTTCTGGTGAAAACATTGCCACAAGGTTAAAGCAGAACTCCAGGCATCAAAAACAGGGTTTTAGCCTTGCCTGTAAAATCTGTTTCATGGAGTACATCACAGGACACAGGGAGTTAATCTTAGGCCACTGGGTCATGCAGCTACCTTCAGGTGATTGGACAGCCCAGTGTAACCTCTCCTGCTCCCCCCCCCCTTGTAAACGTAGGGGTGCCCTTTCATTGCATTCTTTTCCCTCTTGGCAGGCTTGTTGGTCCAGAAGTCATTCTTCACCTAAGGACTAGCAAAAACTGAGGCAGGCAGGGAGTGGGAGGGGTTATGTAGGACTGTCCTGCAGCTGTGATTTGCCAGTGTCCAATCACCTGCAGGTAGCTACACAACATGGTGTTAGAACCTAACACCCTGTGTCCTTTTATGTACACTCAAGACCTAGTTTCCCCAGTAGTCCCTTGCTCCTGGACAATGTACATTCCGTATTTTTGTTCACGCTGTTGTGGGCAAGGTTGCTGTGCTGTTTGGGCCAATAGTAAAGACTATCGGTATCGAGTACAAGTACCGACTTTTTTTTTTTAACGGTACTTGCTGATATCGATAGACCCAATAAGGAAGCCAGGTGGTGTGTGATGATTCGCCACCCGGCTTCACTATTAGCAGGGAAGCCGCCCCCATGCTTCTCGTCACTAGGTGACGATAAAGCATGGAGCCGGTTTTCTGGCCAATCAGGAAGCCGGACTCCGTGTAATGACGCAGCACCCGGCTTCCTGATACCGGAGTGATCGGGCTAGGCATCGGCGCATTTGGGCGAGAACGAGTACTCGGCCAAATACTCGGCACCGATACTAGTATTGGTATCAATGCATTCCTAGTAAAGACAAATGACTGGTGGCTGCATTGTTACATCACCTGCGCAGTGCTGAAAACTACAAGGGAGCGCTAAAATGACAGCTAGCTGTGACAGGAAGTGGCTCCGAGGCTCACTGTCCCGGGGTGCTTGTTGGGGGGCAGAGTACACAAAGGGGAGCTGTAATGCACAGAAGAGAATACTGGAATCCTGATCTCTCTGCAGCAGTGTCAAAAAAGTTTCTTTAATGGGGCTGAAGAGCGCATTTAGAATAACCAGGATCTGACCCATCCCCCACTCCATGCAAGAGATCCCCCTGATGATCTACTGACATCAGTGATTTATATACTGTGAAGGATTTGCTGTATACATTAAACGCGTGATTTCTTTCCGGCATGAAAAGCCCTTACTAGAGAGGAGGTGCAAAAATGCTTCAGCGTACCACCAGTTCATTGTACAGTCTGTCTGTGAAGGTTCATTCATCCAGGTCGGGGGATATCTGTAAAAAAATAAGTCAAGGCAGCTGGACTTGCTGTATTTTTGGACTTGCTGTATTTTTGGACTTGCTGTATTTTTGGACTTGCTGTATTTTTGGACTTGCTGACATGTCACTGGACATCCGACCAGCTTTCTCAATTCAGAATGACTTGTACAAAAAATGATCTGGGAATAAATCTGGTGAATGTCGCTCCAATCCACATAATCAGTTAGTCACGTCCAGGTGTAGGTTGCATTTGTTGCATATTTGGAGCACATACAATGCTGTTCTAACACCTCCTAGACTCCGATTATGCCAATGCCATCTACACCTGGTTGTGTAGATCGGGCACTGCCCGTGTCTGCAGCACTAGGCAGGATTCCAATGCCAACTGTAATTTATAGCCCATCACCTGGACCAGGGATAGGCAACCTTGGCACTCCTGTTGCTGTGAAACTACAAATACCATCATGCTTCTGCCTCTGGGAGTCATACCTATGGCTATCATTCTTGCAATACCACAACAATGGGATTGCCGGGTTGCCTACCTCTGACCTAGACCATGTTATTTGCGGGTGGGGGTCAGCCCCGCTGGCTGTCAAAACACCTGAGCAATCTGATTGGATGCCGGCATTGTTCAGGTGTTTTGAGAGCCAGTGCGGCCGACTAGCAAGATACTGAAGTGGGAGATTCCCTTATCTACACAGTTTAGAGTGGATGGAGGAATCTGTTGCACGTTTTCCATCTGACCATAGAAAATCTGCAGATCATCTATAGGTGCATGGCCAACTTTAGACCCCGTTAACTCTTCATGATCATGCTTCCAAGAGCCAATCAAAGGCTGATGGAATCATTCAGCCACTAAGGTCTCTGCTGTCCTGGTGATAATACCTTTACCCTGGGAATCATAAAGCACTATTGGGTAAAGTTTTTATGCTGTAGAATTTTTGGATTTAGCCTAAAAAAAAAAGC